GTAAAGAAATACTTACTAGTATTAAGAATTTAAATTTAAGTACATAATAAAACGTCTTACTTCTGATGACATAATTCGGGGCATTAATTCTTTAAAAGTCTCTACTCAGACTGACATTGATGGTCTTTGTTCCGCTCTTCTAAAAAAATGCCCAGCGCTAATACCACCTATTAAATTTATTTTCAACACCTCACTACGTACTGGAGTTTTTTTTTGGATAAGTGGAAAGCAACAACTATTACCCAAATTTTCAAAAGTGGCAAAAAGAATGATGTTACTGACTACAGGCCAATCTCCAAGCTGTCTACAATTTCAAAACTGTTCGAAAGTATAAGCATGAGCATCAGCTTTGTCGCTGGACGGTCTACGCTTACTAACCTAGCGGTCTTTAGTGAATACTGCATTGACACGTTTTCTTCTGGTATCCCATTGCATTCTGTTGCGCAAGCTTGCCACGCTGGGTTTCCACTCTATATTCCTGAAGTGGCTGAATTCTTATTTATTCTTAGTAATAGGTGCTGCGTGGTCTCAATCGAGGTGGTATCTTCTACTCCATTTACTGCATCATCTGGCGTACCACAGGGTAGCATCTTAGGACCTTTACTCTTTGTTCTTTTTATTAATGATATAGGCAGCTGTTTTTCGTTCTCTAGATTCTTGCTTTACGCGGACGACCTTAAAGTTTTCTCTTCGATTAAGAGTTCTGAAGATGCTTCTAGGGTTCAAGTAGATATCAATAGATTGTACTTATGGTGTTGTCGGTCTCACCTACATCTCAATATTAGCAAGTGTTATCACGTAGCGTTTCCCAAACTTCGTAACGATGTTCAAACATCATACAGTATCTCTGGTACTCCCCTTCAGTCAGTTTCTGAGATCAAAGACCTTGGTGTAATTTTCTTTTTTATTCAATAACCACATCAATTTTATCATATCTAAATCATATGCTGCGTTGGGCTTTGTTCGTCGAAATAGTTGTAATTTTACTGATCCCTACACTCTGAAATTACTCTACACGTCTTTTGTTCGTCCAAAGCTTAAATATGCAGCACTCATCTGGAGACCTCATCATAAATTTGCCATCGATAGAATTGAGCGTATTCAAAAATTTTTCCTTAAATATGCCCTTTCTTCCCTCAATTGCTCCACTCCCATCCCTCCGTACAATTCCCGCCTCCTTTTGATTAACCTTAAGTCCCTCGAAAGCAGAAAGACTATTCTTTCCTTGTCTTTTGTGCGTGGCTTGATAAGTGGTGAAATCGATTGCCCCGCATTACTGCTTTCTATTCAATTTTTTATTCCTGCGTGAACATTTCGTTTTAATCTTCCCTTTTACCTCAAGGCCCTCAGTACGAATTACGCAAGAAACGCTCCGTTAGTGCGTGCACTTCGAGAACTCAACGAGATTTCGAATTCTATTTTGCTTGATTTTTCTTTGCCCAAGAATATATTTTATAGTTTATTGAATTCAATTTTATTTTAGTGCCTTCTGCACTTTAGTTCTCTGGTATCGTTTTAGTCAGTAAGAACCTTTGTAGTTTATTGACTTTTTTGAAAGAAATAAATAAATATGTAAAAAACGTGATATTCATAAATATACTTCTGTATTTAGCTCAAGATTTATTTAAAGAACTTCGTGAAAGACAACAACTAATCTTGTATTGCTTGATACCTGATAACCCAGGATAATTTTTAAGTTCTTAAAGGACCTTACTCTACTCAAAACTTAGTACAGTGGGCCGTGAGAAAACAGCAATCTTTAAGTTATAGTCCAACCTTTCACAATAACTGTCCAAGGGCTTTATTAGTAGTAATCTGAAATGCAATAATCGCTGAAAATTGGCAACGTTTATGTGAAAGACATTTAGTATCACACTTTTAAACTAAACTTTCTTAACCCTTTCAGTACAAAAATTCAACCACTGATTCTAAAAATTGTAAAATATGTACACTGGCTAATTTTGGATCGCTCATTTCAAAAATCACATCAACAAATTTGTAAAGCTTTGAGCTTTGCCCTCATTCAGGGTCCTTTATAATGGTCAGTGATAGCCTAGGTGTTTAAAAAAGAAAGTGATCACAACTATTTTTTATTTTTTGCTTTCGTGAAATATACATATTTCAAAACTATGAATAATATCTAATGCATTCTCCGAATCTCAATTCCACGGAAAAATGGTTAATAATTTTCAATAGATTATATGGTCTACTATCGACTTTTCTGCCACTTTTTACTTTTGTAACAAACACGTTCAACTGCAACTGCAGCTTGCACTTTAATTTGATATATGTATAGCTTAACTCTGTAGCTGCTACAGACCGTCCTAACTAAGTTGTATGACTAAGCAATTGTAAATATGTAGATGATTACTGTTAAGTCGAGTTTCGCTCATTGTGGAGCGCAGTCTAGGTTTTACCCTTCTTAGGGCCGGTTACTCAATGTCTGGTTATCACTAATCTCCGGTTAAACATAGTTATCGACGTTACCGACTCCCTGTTGTATGCATTGATTCGATAACGACGTTTAACGGCAGATTAGTGTTGACCAGACATTGAGTAACCGGCCTTTAGGGTTGTAGTTACTAAATCTTGTGTTAATGGAAATATCGCACACCGTCTTCAAAAGAGTCACAACACAAAATAATACGTTTGTCAGGAAATGCGAAAAACTTTTTCTTAGCACATGATAACCGTATGGGCAAGGGCGACTTTACCTTAGGTTTTTTTAAACAAATTATAACAAAAATTTGCTCCAGCTTTTGCTGAAAGGTAAATAAAAGCTCCGCGTACATTTTTAGCGCATAATCTCAAAAATGCCAAATTTTGAGCTGTGACTCTTTTGAAGACGGTGTGCAATATGTGTATTCAGTTGGCGTTACTAAACTCTTTTCTCAGTGTGATTCGTTAGTTCATTAGAGGATCGGACTATCAGAATGAAAGCTCCTTTGGGTGCTTCTACCGTTTCATTAGAGGATCGTACTATCAGGATGAAAGCTCCTTTGGGTGCTTCTACCCTTACACTGAGAGCTTTTCTGCGCTTACAAATTTTTTTGATTGCTCCACATTTTAAATTAATTTCACAACAACCGAGCTTCGTTGGTATCATCTGTAAGTGAGTGAATGACGTAGGGCGGTATTCGCAAGTTCGACATTGTCCTCGAATCTAGTATGTATTCCTTTTCAAGTAATATCTAAATAGGTACACACTCAAGTTCATCTTACCTAAATATCTGTTAGTGTCTAAACGGTAGGTGTGGAGTTTTTTTAGGTATTTTTTTTCAAAAGTGTTCAGTGTTTATCAGATTTTTTAACACGGGGCTAATTTGTACTTCACCTTTACGCACTATGTTACGATACCTATAACTGTACGCTGAATGTAAGAACAAGAAGCATGGCAAGCTTTTTGTTCATTCAACAAACTTCTAATTTCGAAACGTAAAAAAATATTTATAAATAGTAGGTTTATGCATACAAATGTTGATATTATTTACCTATGTGGGTATGTGTATATAGGCATTTATTGAGAGGTATCATTTGTACGAACGTAAGCAGCTGATAGGAACTTCTTAACAATTCTTGCGGCAACTGATATAGAAAATAAACAAACAAACGAAAAGAGGAGCAAAACAGATATTTATGTAGATAGTAGCACTTGAAAGAAGTGGAGAAGGTGTTTTAGAATTGCAATAATTATAAGTTTGTGTGCATGTGTGTATAAATACATACATACATATCTGTATGTACGAAGGCAAGTAAGCACCCAATAATATAACGAATACTGATTCCAATTCAAGGTGATAAGAAGCGACTACTTAAAATCGTTCCACCTTCATAGAAACATACATATGTATACACAAACATACATAAAGGTGTATACCTACATATGTACATATGTATGTGCATATCTTCAAATAGGAAATAATCTCTTCACCACCTCCGCGCTTCCTACAAATCGACTTGGCTCGACCGAAAGGTGGTAAACATTGTGGTTTTACCGCAAAAGCGGTGCGGTTGTGCTACAAAACGGCGCGGAACCTAGAAGTGTGTAAATATATAGAAAAGTACATAGTACATAAATTTAATACAACTATTTATATATGTTTGTTGATGCAGCACATTTATTTAAAAAAATAATAAATTTTCCATTATAAAATCGTTATGAACTATTACAAAAAAATTTTACATATGTATGTGTGCACAGCGGCGAAAATATAAATAGGAACACAACATTTTAACAAGTTTTGTCAATATTTTTTTGTTTATTAATGTTTATTATTTTTATTTATGAAAGTATAGCCTGTTATCTAACAAAACTCATGTAAGTCTAATTTTAAACTTTTGTATTTCATCAAAATTTAGAGTTTTAATTAGATTTCTTAGAAAAATTTTGAGTAGGCAGTTTTGTAGCCTATTCAATTTTAATATAATAAAGTGAATGTTGGAAGTAGCTATATCTTATGTACCGTTGACTTTTGGTAATTTTTTTGTTGAAGGTGTTGCTCATTTTATCGATATAAAATTGTTGTCGGACATACATGCATACTTTATTTGGGAAAAATGTGTAGTGCCGTGAACAAAAAAAAAACAATATTGCCAAGAATCAACGATATTTTATAGCTACTTCAAACTTGTAAACTGTCTTTAATTGCACTAAAATTTAATAGGCTATAAAACTGCATTCGAACTTTTTTTCTAAAAGTTCTGATTGAAAAGTTTAAAAATTGAATGAAATTTCGCTGAATTTTATCGAAGTTTGAAATTCGTACTTACATGGTTTTTCCTCGATAATGAACTACACTTTAAAAAATAATAATCATCAAATAAACGAAAGAAAAATAGCTAAAACTTGTTAAAATGCCGCGTCCCTATTTATATTTTAAATTTATTAATGTAAATACCGTCTAAATTTATTCACATTGAAAAGATCTCAATCAAACTTTATTTCTAAAAAAATCGAAACATAATTTATTGACAAATGCTTAGTGCGATGGATTCCAGTTAATCGATATTTACGTTTACCAAACATCGAGCCGTCGGTAATTTGATATCTACGCGCGCATATTGCCGTCGAAGGAAACGTAGTATCCGCAATTATTAGCAAGAAGTCATCGCCATGGCTGCCTAATGATATTCAAATAAGTGAATCTAAATAACTACTGGTGCATACACACCCACAAGTGTTTACCTTCCTTTCTCAATATCTTAAGATACATACATATGTATGTATGCAAGCGTACATCTACATACTTATACATATTTGCTTGCGTTTACCGAAATCCATCTACTTCGATTCGCGTTTGTATGCAAATACATAAATTGTAATTTGTGTTGATGTTAGCGCCAGCTATTATAGTCAACATATTAACATTAGAATTGTAAGCGTGTTGCATTAGCAATGATGCAAACTTTGAAACCGCCACCACCACTGCTACAACACCACTACCAACACCAATACCAGCCGCAGCCTCATTCGTCATTGGCTTCGTCGTTGCTTAGTAGCAACATTTCTATTATGAATAATCATATCCATCAACAGCAACAGCCACATCCTTTGCTGCATAATCATCAAAATCCACAAACGATGATGCAACAACCGCAGCTTAGTCACCTAGTACCTCCGTTGCCTACGTTGCCTACGCTGCCTACACTGCCTACATTGCCTCCGCTGTTGGCATCGACTTTGACGCCGCAACCTGCTTCTTCAATAACGAACTGCAACAGCAACAAAAGCGGTAACGGCAGCAACAGCATAGGTAAAGGCATTTGCGTTAGGAGTATCTTGCAACACAATCACACACCAAATCAACAACAGCGGCAAGACAACAGCATCACTGCCGCCGGCGCATCTGCCGTCCATCTTGACGATGAACCGAATCCTGAAATGGTGCTCGCTTTGATCTCAAGGAACCGAGCGCTCGAGGGTAAGTCCGTCAGCTTAAGTAACTAAATTGCATGAATTAGACCAACTGTCCATCAAATAGCTTAAAATCTTTACACTAAATTCCACTACTGTGTGTTCATATACATACATACCGGGCCTGCCGCATTAATTTTAACATTCGCATTCACATTAATCAATGCGGAGCTTTTGTGAATACGAATGTTGTGCAAGCGCACCGATAAAACGCATATCTGGCAAACAAAATGACAAGTTGTAGCAAATATATTTTTTGGTCGTTGGAGTATTCGTGTAACAAAACTGGTCAAATGTCATATTTATCAACTTTGATAAAAATGTCTTTAAACATATTATTTCTTAAGCTATATAACCGAGCTAGTTATCAATGGGCAGTCATACAAGTTCCCACTTCTACTTGACCTTTGACGTACATTAAAGGGAACATAGCCCTTTAAATAATATATATTTTTTTGTTTTCTCTTCTTTAAATACCTTCATCGGTTTCTTTCTTTATTATGAGTTTTTTGGACCAATCGTAAAAGAAACTACTAGACATAAAAGAAGAAAGTGTGCACTCTAATTTTAAACCAAATTCTCGTGGTCTTTTTAAATGGGGCTCTTTGGAGAATTTATTTAAAGCAAACATTTTAAAAACAGTAATTTTGTTTACTTGTCGGGCAATATTTTTTCATAGAGAAATACATATGTACCTTGGATCCTTGGCTAAAAGCTTCTGTGGTAAAACTGTCCCCTACGTCTCCCTTCGTTGCTATTTAAAGTCACAGATTAAGCTCATACAATAGGGACTTCCAGCAAAAATCTTCAACATTTAGCTATAAAGAGAAACGATGCTGAAAAAATTAAAAAGCTATAGGTCCGACCTTTAATTAGTAAGAATTACGTAACTATCTGAGACCCTCATGATTCGTGATTCCAATAATTAAAATGCTTATAAAAAACGGGGTGCTGTTTTAAAAAAATAACAATATTCTGATCCAATTCGGCTGGCAGCCACGATTTTGAAAAAAGTATTTTGCTCAAATAATTAATTTTCCATATCCACCTATTTAGCTCGCTATTAGCACACATTTTTCAAACCAGTCGCAGAAGAAAGTATTAAAAATGAATTACAAAAACTAAAATCGAAAAACGCTGATGACGTTAAGGTTCCACAAATTCTGAAACAGCCAAAGGAACGAGAATGAAGAATTCTTTTTAAAAGGGTTTCGGAAAACCTGACATATCTGGTTTGGTTTGTAAGCGCTGCTTAAACAACGATCTCACCATTATGATAGATTCTAAAAGTGAATATAAAAGTCAGGGGGATATATCCGACATTTTCAACCCCGATGCATCCGCGGATGTCTAAAATTTCACATTCGCAACATCCCTAATACATACAAACATATTTATCTAAGAATCAGTGGACGATAATGGAGTGAGTTGAAAGCTTTAGTTTTAGGGTGGTTTAAAGCATTAGGTAAATGCAAATTACATATAAATACATATATACGAAAACACAAAGCAGTGCAACAACGGCATTCGTGTGATAGAAAAGCTTGAAATGCATCGCCCGTTTTAGAATATGCAAAAATGGGCCATGGAATTGCAATTGCTTTAAGAATTTGTTTCGCCAGCCGTTTAAGTATGTGCAAATACATACCGTCGGTCCCTACGAAAGTAGCACATTCGCGTCGAAGAGTAGCACTTTTCAGATTGTTAACCAGCGAAAACTTGCACAATTCGGGACTTTTCAGGTTTAAATTAAATCATAAAAATATAATTTATGCTTCTGTAATTGTTGTATAAAATCATGACATTCAGACGGTATACACAGGGTGGACCAGATAAGACCTACCATCCATAGTTCATAGGTCCATAGTTTGCCTAGCAGTGTGCGCAGTCGCTCCATCTTGTTGGAACCACAAATTAGGATGCTGCTCTGCCGTTGGCCACAAAATGTTGTTAATCATTGTTCTGTAAAAAGCCCCAGAAATCGTTTCTGGCGTTTCATCCTCATTCTCGAAGAAATATGGGCCGATAACTTTTTCGAGCATAACACCGCACCAAACAGTGCATCTGGATGAGCGTAACTGATGCTGGTGTGTTGCTCTTGGATTTTCAGAGCCCCTCAATCTACAGTTTTGCTTGGAAATGCGCTTCAGCCGACATCAAAACATTACCTAATAAATCAATTTGTGTGGCTAATTGTGTAAAACGAATAGTTTATTGTAGTCGTGGTTGGTGGTTTTGCTGTATGTATCCATTAAGATTTGCCAAGAGATTAACTATATAACATGCAGAGAGAAAATAACAATAATATTAAAAAATAAAGAAGTTATACGTGTTTAATATTGGTAGGACTTATTTCGCCTACCCTGTAGTTACCATTTAGTAATAATTTCCTAAGATCATCCACTTTTATTTTTTTAAAGGTATTTTTCCCTTATAACTATCAGATTTCTAAATGATGAAATCCCAACATACAATTTTATTTTTAGAATAAAATGACATAGCATATTTTAATTCATTTTTATCTGAACCAAACAAAAAGAAACAAACTTGAAAAAAGATCGCAAAAATGTATACTAGAGACGGGCACGGGAATAAATATTTAATCCCGATTCCGCCCATCCCGAAATTCAATTTTTAAGTCCCGAAACTGCCCACCACGACGTTTTTCAGAATTGTACCGCGGGTTCGGTGGGTCCCGAAATCTTTAAATAAGAAAAATTCACATGCGTTTCAAATTAATTAAAACAAATAAAAAAATAATAATGAAGGATCTAGACAACTTTGTTTTGCTTTGCTGTTCCTTCTCGAATCAATAAAACATAAAACAGTGCATATTCATACATTGTTTTTAAGAAAGATTTTCTGAGTTTGCGGTGGTTGTGGTTTTATTGGGAGTATCGGGAAAGGATTTTGGTCCCGTCCGGCCGCAGAATTTTTACAGACCTTCCCGATACCGGCCATCCCGGCCAATTTGAAATCAACACCGTCCGTCCTTCTAATTTATACACAGAATATATACATCTAATATTTTTAATGTCCATGAATTATTCGTTGAAGATTAGTATTATTTTTATAATTTCACTAAATTCAAGTTCAAAAAAATGTAGGCAATAATGAGAGGCAGTCTCTATACCAGTTTGACAGGACTAACCCAAAGATCATACTAAATAAGAATATTGGCTATGTTTATGGATCCCTTATATTCTGTGTTCTTCGCGGTAACAAAAGAGCTGCCACGTTTGTCCCAAAAATGGTTTTTGACCCAGAAACAGGGAGACACATATTAAATTAGTAAATAAAACTCTGAAAATCGGGATCTAATCGTTAGAGATATGAAAAATCGGGACACTAATACGTGCCGGCTTTTAAAAAATATTCAGCAGACAGCTTTCTCAAAATCGGTACTGCCCCGCCATAATCGGTACGAATGGTCACCGTCCTTATAAGCCCTTGTCAAATTTGGTTTGGAGACGAATCGGGTTTCGGCGTTATGCCATCAACATAGTGCATAGTATTTTATGATTGACCATTCAACTTCTCGCTCTATGTACAGTCGTATTTTACACCCATGTCTAGGTGATTTTTGCTATTTTTTAAGGGAGTGTATATTCGCACTTTGCCAGTGTCACCAGTGTACCAGTGTCCGAAACCATCCGACAACATCCGACACTGGTACACTGGTGACACTGGCAAAGTGCGAATATACACTCCCATTTTTTTTATTAAAATTTCCTTTACATTCGATGTCTTTATTTTTTGAAAATATTTGGACAGTTCTCCGATTGAAAAAAGTTAATTTTTATAATACAATTACAGAAACACTTGCTATTTTAATACAAATTATGTCTTTATGCAAATCATACGGGCAGGTTCTCCAATTCACTTCCAAGTGAATTTGAGTCAAGTTCGCTTTGAATTCAAATTGGCAGGGGTTGGGATTCACTCGGAAGTGAATTGCAAAACCTGCCCGTATGATTTGCTTTAAACCTGAAAAGTCCTGAAATGTGCAAGTTTTCGCGGCTTAACAATCTGAAATGTGTTACAGTAGCGTGTTCAAACTGGCTTCCGTAAGCTCTGCTAAAGCAGTTTGATCGGCGTTTGGGACATGAACTCTCAATTTTAGTAGTGACGTCAACTATACTTGACCCACGATTTAAAAAAAATACATTTTGCATATCCAAAATTATACCTGCTTTCCAGCAAATGTTCGCACTTGATTGGTATATCAGAACGAATTTTCGCTAAAGCCGGTGCCATAGCTTTGGAAAGTCGAAGCAGATTGCTTCCACCAAAAAGCTGTAAAATGTTGTTTTTTTTGAACTAGTTTGCAAGTGAATTTTTTCTTATACGATTACAGTCAATAAAAAACTTTGAAACAAGTTTTTTCATTTAGAGAATATTTAAAAAATAATTGGAAAAAATTTATTGATTAGTATCTTATGATTAATTGCTATTAATTTTAAGGTCTTACAATCAATCAATTGATACATTAATCGAGTAAATGTTTTTTGCTATCCCTAGTGCTACTCTTCCCATTGTTCCAAGCGAATAATGAAATGTGCTAGTCTTTCACGCGAATAAAAAAGTGCTAGTCTTCGAAGTGAATAATGTGCTACTTTTCGTAGGGGGCGGTGATAAGTGTGTATGTCGCATGTGAATGTAGAAAGTTTGTCATACTTAAACATATTGGACAGCACAATGAATTTCAACGGGGTTATCTTACAAGAGAAACTCCAAGTGCATCCGATAAATAATTTCCCGTGATAAAGCTATTTTTTTTTTTATATAAGAGTTATTTTAAGATTTATTATTAAAAAAAAATATTGTTGGTGTTCCCACTTGCCTGGTTAACTGGTTATGTGGTTGTATTTTGTAATGTACCATATGATATTCATGTTTGGGGTATTCATACCGGCCTAGGTATCATCAGGTACTCGTTACCTTGCGGATAGCCTCTTTAACTGATTTAATTGGTTTTTGAGTTTAGAGGGATTTGGTATTCTGTTT